CCTTTTTTTTCATAGGAGTAGCCATACTTCCGTGTTTTTTTTTATTGTCAACCCTGCAATCCAATCAGGGAACAAAGGCAACATTTTAACCAATCACAGACAGAGGGGGTGGGTCACTCTTAGTCTGGTTTCTGGGCAGTCACCATAGAAGAAGATTTTTATGAACACTGAACACCGCCACACTGCGATTCTACCGTTCAACATGAATATAGAAAAATATTTCCTCAAATTCTAAAGGACATGTGACGATGACGGTGCAGACAGGAGGTGGAATAATAAACGGCTCCACGCCTATTGTAAATGTGGGCACTGATTTAAGCAGCCATGCTGGAGTTAGCAATCATGCTAAGAGAGCTAGCAACAGCACCCATGGAGATCAAAGAGCAGCGCCGAGCTAGCCTGGCAAGCCAGACTAAATAAATGTATTATTTAGTCTGGCCACGCTCCATTGACGGCTCTCGGTTGTGGGGCGGGTTCTACCGTTGTCTTTCAAATGATCTCCGCATTCCACTGGACAATGAATGTGACATACTCTTGTTTCACTCTGTTGCATCATCCCACCCACCAGGCATATAGAGTGCCCTGATTGGCCCACAAAGCGGATAAACCTCTGTGATTTGGTCACCAAGCAGATAGAGCACTATGATTGGCCCACCATTATGGACCAATCACAGCTCTTTATGTGTTTGAAACCCCTCTAGAGAGCTGTGATTGGCTAGCCAGAGTCCTGGTAGGAGCTGCGGAGGTTCCAATGGAGCGTGCCTAGACCATTCTTTGCAAAGCAAGAATTTGGTCTAGTTCACTAGGCTAGCGCCGAGCAGCATAAACTCTTCTACATGGAATAAACAACGTGAGTGACCTCCTCTGCAAAACAAACACGGAGATTCATCGTAGTAGCATTACAGCTACGAGGGACAACAGGCCACAGTTTAGTGATATTGGCACAGAAAAGCCTCAAAGACCAGTCCTGCAGAGCTGGCCTTCACGCCTTTTCTCAGGAAAAAAAGATAATTTTGCTGTTCCTGGTATGGAAGCTTTCCCTGCCTGGAGTATTCAGTTCAAGCAGATGCTGCATTCTGCTACCCATGCAGAATGTTTCAGGGACCCGGACCCACTGACGCAACTTACAGTATAACTGGAAACATTCAATAGAATGTGGAAAGAGACTGAACAAACATGCTGCATCCAAAGAACACTTGACTTGTGAAGCCATGTGGAGGGACAAGGAAAGGCGAGTTCACATGAGTAAGGAAACATCAACATGAATTAACACTGAACAACTACAGCGCAACAGATATTATGTGTCTGCAATTATTGATGTTGTGGAGTTCCTTGCTGTGAACCAGCTGCCCTTTAGAGGTGACCATGATGCATTTATGGTAAATGGCCTGTATTTGATATAGCGCCTTCTAGAGTCCTAGAACCCCCCAAGGCGCTTTACAACACAATCAGTCATTCACCCATTCACACACACATTCACACACTGGTGGTGATGAGCTACAATGTAGCCACAGCTGCCCTGGGGCGCACTGACAGAGGCGAGGCTGCCGAGCATTGGCGCCACCAGTCCCTCCGACCACCACCAGCAGGCAACGTGGGTTAAGTGTCTTGTCCAAGGACACAACGACAGCGACAGACTGAGCGGGACTCGAACCAGCAACCTTCCGATTACGTTCATTTAGTAAAATGAACAGCGACGGGTGTGGCCTATTTTTGTCTCTATTTGAGTTTTCTTCAAGGAAAGATGCAGAATTAGCAAAGAAAACAAAAACTATTCCTCACAACACCACATACAAAGTCATGGTATTCAACATGACTTAATGGATGTAATGAGTACTTTAGTAAGAGAGCATATGGTGGAAGAAGTTGGTGAAACATTCTATACATTAAAGGCAGATGGAACCAGAGATCCAACAGGGACAGAAAACATCTCCATTGTTCTCCGCTTTCTGAATGAACAATGTGAACCAACTGAGCGACTCCTAACCATAGCCACTGCCGACCAGGGAGGGGCCGCTACTTTGACTGACACCATCATAGGAGAACTGACCACTGCTGGCCTGAACCACGAAAATCGTCAGTCGGGTGTATGATGGTGCCTCCCTCGTGTCAGGTAAACATGGGGGTGTACAGAAGCTGCTTCAGCAAAAACTGGACTGAGAGATACCGTATGTCCACTGTTATAACCATCAGCTGCATTTGGTGGTCACCCTATGGTGATCATGCCCTGTCAGTTGAAGAGGCTGTGATGGACTTTTCCAGTGTGTGCAACATGCAGAAGACCAACTGTTGCCATTCTCCACAAAGGAGAGACACTCAAGCGCCCGTTGGACCAACGCTGGAGTGGACATTTAGCAACAGGTAAGTTAATTAGTACTGATACGTTAATAATGACGAGGATGTACGTTTGCAACTGTGTACTCTGTGAATGACTCCCCGGCCTGAAAATAATAGTGATCTATTTTCTGTATTCTGCATTCTCAGTAATTCTGAAATTATTTGATGACCTATTCACACTGCTCCAAGAGATCACCAACAACAGAGCGTTTGGAGCAGATCTGCGCATCGAAGCAACAGGATTGTGGCAGAGCATGTCCGAGCCAAGCTTTAAGTTCATAGCGGAGATGGTGCACAAGATCCTCGCGTATCTTGACCCCCCCAAACAAGCTTGGACAGGTGAAGGAAGAATCTTTTTATTTTTTTATCCTAAGCGGTGCAATAAATATGTGCAAGCCAAACCACATTTTATATTTATAATGTAATAATAAGTGGAAAGAGCAGGTCTGTCCAGCCCTGGTCCTGGAGATCTCCTGTCCAGCATGTTTTATATGTTCAGTGGCTGAATCACCTGTTCAGCTGCTCATCAGGCTGCAGAAACTTGTTAATCACCACTGATTCTAAAATGGTGTGCGGAAACAGGGAAACATCTAAAACATGCTGGGTATCATCACAGACAAAATTATGGTTATAGTGATTTTGGTTTCAAACTTATTTCTCAACCCTTTTCGTCACAGGTTCTGAAACAGTTCCAGAGGCCACTGGAAGCAATGCCCACTGTCTTCACAGCATTCAAACATGGACTGACCTTTGGAGCCAGCACTGCGTTCTGTGAAAATTCCTTTTCCACTCTTAAAAATGTCCTCACAGACCATCGCTTAAGTATGCTTCATCAGCGCAAAGCCAACCTCATTCAGTTGGCATTTGGGAAGGACTTGACCCGGAAATTCAGGAATGAGTGGAAGGACAAGATTGTAAGAAGGTTTCACACGGTCCACAACCGCCGCTTGCCACTCTTCTAACTTGTGATTAACACACACACACACACACACACACACACACACACACACACACACACACACACACACACACACACACACACACACACACACACACACACCATCATGTGCAGTAAAAGGGGTCCTGCTCTGTGTATTCCTGTAGCTGCTGTAGCTATTTACCCTACAGCTGTTAACTCAAGTACTCAGTTCCATGTTGGTGGTTATGTTTTTAAGAGAAGTAAAGCTAAATAAGTGGACACTGCGCTACAGTACTGTCAGTACAGTACTGAGCGGTCAGCTGCTGCTGATCATCCCATCAGTGGCCTGGATAGAAAGGGAGGAATGAGACAACAACAACTTGCCGGATGATTATGTTTATGTTTATTCATTTAGCAGACGCTTTTATCCAAAGCGACTTACAATTTATAACCTACAGGGCATGTTGTGATCTGTGGGGGAAACCGGAGTACCCGGAGGAAACCCACGCATGCATGGGGAGAACACCAACTCCACGCAGAAAGGCCACAGCCGAGATTCCAACCTGCAACCTTCGTGCTGCGAGGCAACAGTGCTAACCACTGCGCCACCATGCAACCCACCTCACCTTGGGATCAACCAACTTGACCACTCATCTCTCCAGCCATGACCCCACCAGATTCCTCACTCCTCCAACCCGATTCACCTGCGCTCATCCTGGACCCCAACCTCTCAAGCTTCCTGCGTGAAACCCTCCTGAGCCTAACACTCCTGGAAGCCTGGCCACGACCTCTAGATCTGACCCCCCCCCCCCCCCCGAGCCCTTCTCTCTCAAAGGATACCACGGTTCCCACAGCTCAGCTATGTGCTGCAGCCCTCACCTCCTTTGGACAGTGCTCCCTTGGTTAAATAAACTCAATTTATATTCTTACTTACCCGAGTGTCTCGTGTTAACTCTGTATGTCTTGGGTCAGGAAACTACCTCAAAACATGACTAAATGGCTCCACCTTGGTCCATTTTACAGATGATCTTAATAGATTGCAGCATCACAAGACTTTCAGCTTGACATGATTTTAGCTGTTTGGGTGAAAAACAAACTAAAATTACATCATTTATCAAAATCTGAGAATTTTTGTTTAAAACTCTGCATTCCATCAATGAAGCTAGGTCCTATTGTAGGTGGTGTGATGTTATGTGACAGCAGAAACTCAGCTGGTAGAGCAGGTTGTCCAGCAGAGGCTTGCCGGATCGATCCCCAGCTCCGTGTGTGTCCTTGGGCTAGACACTCCACCCTCCTTGGCGACCGCTGGAGCCAGTATATTGCAGCTGTGGCTATGATGCAGCATCACCATCAGTGTGTGAATGATGGGTCGTAGTGTAAAGCACTAAACTCATATATTTGGTTAAAGCTGGTTTGCATTTTCATACAGTTTCCTAACAACTTAGCGTCTCAGCATCTCTTTTCGAATTCTGATTCATGTATTCACATCACAAAACATGAATAAAAACGTCCACCCCAGAAGAAAGTTTCGCAGAGTTTAAAACAGCTGATGCGCGACGTTTTCTGCTTTCCTCAAACTAAGAAGAGCAGCAGAAGGCCTCCTCTCCTCCAGCATCCCTCTACAGGCTCAGTGAGTGGCGGTTGGAGTCTGTGCGTCACGGTGCGCACCGCACTCTCCTCCCTGAATGTTAAACGTAGGCGCTGCTCACCATGTGACGCTCCTCACCCCCTCCCTTCCCCACCGTCCTGTGAGCGCTCAGTTAGGACCACAGCCACACACACACACACACACACACACACACACATTCTGCTCGCCGGATGGATGATTTTCTGCATCTCTCCACCAATTCTCCGACAGCTGATTCTCTTCAGGGCCCGGGTGGTGTTGAGACTCACGGTAAGTCCTATTCCAAGGCTGTCCTCATCACTCTTTGTCTCCTGGACATCACAGCAGAAGTTCACAACTGTTTGTAAAATTAGGTTTTCGCGTTTAAACATCGGGGGAACTTTTGTTTCTGGTCTCAGGAAGTTGTGAGTAAATGGCTGGAGGAGGGAGACGTGCTCTGGTTCATGCAGAGGTCAGGGAATAATTGCATGTGACCTTGAGTGTTTAGAGGTGATCACATCCGTCCTGGCCAGAGGCAGCAGCTGATGGCATCCAGCATCCATTCTCTCACAAGCAGGTTCAGTTCAAGTCTGTAAATCTGTGTTTGGAGGAGTCTTTTCCTCTCTTCAATCGTCCTCTGAGTGATTTTTCTGTGTCATACAGCTGGATTAGAGCTCAGTTACAGTCACATGATCAGTCACTAATTACTGTTGGGCTTTTAACTAGTTCTGATCAGTAAATGTGATGCTGTTCATCTCTCAGTGTGATGGCACACATTAACCACTGATACTCAGATCTGTTCAGAGCAACCTAACCAGACAGTTCATTCATGCACTAAAGCAGGGGTGTCAAACATGCGGCCCGCGGGCCGAATCCAGCCCGCAAGCGGGTTAAATCCGGCCCGCGAGATGGTTGTGTAAACTTTATTTTCCTACTTTACAATGTAGAGTGAAAATAAACTTATCTTTGTGAGCAAGTTTTCTCTGTAATGAGTATAAATAAAACAAAGCTGCGCTCAAGGCTCACACAAGAACTTGAATCACATCCTGAAGTTGGCCGCCACTCAGGATGTGACTTCTGATATTGATGTGTTGGTGAAAGCTAAAAGATGTAAAGTAAAATGAGTCAAATATACTTTAAGTGCTGCATGAAACTGATCTAGCCATGTGATCTGTAAGCTCTTTGAATCACTAAGGAATGTTTTTTTTATTTGTTGATTTTTTTTTTCAAATTTTCAAGTACACTTCAGGTGTTGTACTTGTACTACACTGTCTTCAGGCTCCAGCCTTGTTTCATATTGATTGTATTAAAACAAAGAAAACGATCTGAAGTTTTTTTTAATTTACCGGTCCGGCCCACTTGGGACTAGATTTCCCTCAATGTGGCCCCTGAGCTAAAATGAGTTTGACACCCCTGCACTAAAGGAAACATGTGTTCATGTGTTTGTTTCATTCTGAATGACTTCTGGTTACTTTAACTTTAGTTTCCTAATAACTGGAAAGAAAATTAGCTCTAATTTTAGCCTTTAAACCTTTGCTGCTTTTCTCCATGAAATGGGATGCCATTATTGATTTTTACTGATTCATGATGGGTTTGGGAATCTTTAGGTCGGTTATCGCATCCTTTCAATCATACATTTTTAAATAACCATCGTATTAAATATGGATAATATCAATTCATGAGTCAAACAAAAAAAACTAATTGTTTAAGATTTAGAGGATTTTTGTTGCCTTATTAAAACATGAAAGGAAACAAAACAAGATCGAGGTCCCAGTCAGCAACAAAGAAAACAAGAATTAAAAAATTACAAAAGTTTAGAGAAGACGATTTTTGAAGTGAGTCAAAGTCTCGACTCGCCCTTCCACCCATCCAGGTCAACCTTATTCATGGTTTACTAAAGTTGCACAAGTTATGAACAGAAAGGATTCGCAGCAAGGAAGTAATTCACAAGATTCGTCTCAAAGCACCTCACAAGGTAAACCCTCCAGTCGAACCTTCTCATCAGTTCACTCACGAGTTCAGTTCATTATGCCAGTTAGTCAAGTGTCCTCTGTAAGGAGGCCCAGCAGATGCTTACACGTGCCAAATTCCCCAGTCTGGTGCAGATCTGGGTTGATCGGAAATCTCTGTTTACATGGACACTAACTGAAACGATGCGATCATGTCGTGAGTACACATGCATCAAGCATTCAATCAGATTAAACAGAGGATGCGCAGAGTTGTCTTTCCCGGAAAAAAACAAACGCCATCTTGTCCACACTTCTGTTCTCTCCCATTTTATTTTCTCACTCTCTAGCTTTGTCCGTTATGTTTTCCCTCATTATGGACCGCTTCTGTGTACCTCCTGTCATGTTTCCGACTTGTCCTGATTGTCTGCAAATGCGGAAAGACGTCGCGCTGAAGTTGCACACATGTGGGCAGTATTGTACTCCAGCAGTCTGACTGGATGCGTACACGGACGTCAATCGGAACGAGGACTGGACCAAACCACCATCTCTCAATGGGAATGAAATTTCATTCCGATCGGGCCGCGTCGCATCAGAATTTTCCATTTAACATGTTTCCATGAAGAATTTTTGATCTGATAGAGCATTCTTTCCGACCACTTGTGCCCATGTAAACGTAGACACTGACTTGTTGTGTCAGACTTTAAGCAAGCATGTAGCGACAAATAGAATAGAATAGACTTTATAAATCCCACAGTGGGGAAATTCCCGTGCTACAGCAGCACAAACACGCAGAGAAAAAGAATAACAAGATTACAGGTAAACACACAAAAACAATAAGCTATTACTGTAACCTTCTACCTCTAAAAACAATGAATAAAAAGAAAAGTTGGGTTTCCAGAACCACGCATCACGAGGGACGCAGACATACTACTAATGTACATCTGACATTGCACACTACTGAACACAACTCCCCTTCTGAACCTGGCTCTCTGTGAGCAGCTGTCTGCAGCGACTCTCTGGGGCTTTGGGGAGCAGAAACACACAAGAAAGTATAATTATAAAATGTTCTCTTTATTTTGCTTCCAACCAGCCAAACTTCTTGCAATCTTTTAAAATGATCAAGAGTTCCTCAGACTTTTGGAGCTTCTTGCAAAGTTTCACTCAGGACTTTGTAAGTTGTTCACTGCTTTTCATTACCTGAACATAGTCAGAGGCACGTCTTTACTTAGTCCAAGTTCTTTAATTCTGACCCTTTTATTCTGGAATAAAAGGCTTTCAAACTTTCGCAGTGATGTGTTAGTGTGGAAAAACTGCCAAGGTTCTCCTATAAGTGCTTGTTTTTCCCAATAGAAAGTATGCTGGGTTGGCTCTGATACAAAACGTTCCTCAGGTTTAACCCTCTGGAGGTATGGCCATAGTATGCAGATCAGCAACGTTAAAACCTACCTACCTGGTTACTCCACGCACGTATTTCATGAGCATTTTTTAACTCTGAAGTACCCCTGAAGGACTTAGTTGCTCGTCCTTCTATCAAAACTTATTTTGAGCCTGAGAGGGTTAAATAATAAAAGTATTTGTGTTTTATCTGAGATTATGTATGCAACACAGCTGTGATCATCTGGTCTGGTCTAATAAACCAAACAGTGTTTGCATCATTCCAGTGAGTCATTTCCTCACAGTTCATCTGAACTGTGTGTCGACTGAGTTTTTCCAGTAGGATGGTTGGTGGAGTGAGCTGTTCCCAGTGCAGCCACGGCTCAGATTACGTGTTTTAGAGCTGGAGTGGATGACAAGGCAGAAAAGTGTGTGTGTGTGTGTGTGCGTGCGTGCGTGTGTGTGTGTGTGTGTGTGGGGGGGGGGGGGGGGGGGGGGGGGTTACAGTTAATGCACCCAGGATTATGAAGACTTGTAAACAGCAATTCATAGATTAATGCTAAGGGCTCATCTTCCAATGCAAAATGGGAGGAAATGTGTTTTTATGTTTTGAATGGAAGGACAGAAGCTGTAGGGGAACATGTAATTTCTCTGTTTGACCTTTAGGAACTTTTCAGGTGTTTGTAGAGAATCAGTTGATGGTGAGGAAGCTGCTTTTTAAGCTGATGTGAGCAGTGGGAGCTAGTGCACCTCTGTGTGGCTAGTGCATTAGTGTTGTTACATTTCTAATTGGAAGATGCGGTCCGTGTCTACGTGCAGTGCAGGAGGCAGACCTGGACCTCCCACACTCTGTCATTACTGTGTCTGCTCAGAAGAACACACGAGGCCACTTCATCCAAAACATCTTGTTCACCTCCTCCATTACATTTGGTTTGAAGCAGCCGTTCCCTGAAAAAGAGGTCGAGCAGGATGCTGCTGCGGAGCTGCTTTAGAGGATTAGAGGATTTAGAGAGAAAAAACATTGCTGAAGTTAAGCTTTAGCAAAACAGGGACATTAGATAGGACAATCTGCAGAATTGGAAATTTCAAAAGGAAACGTGTTGCGTAAGAGAGGAAAAGTTGTGTGGAGTGGAGAGCCTGTCTTTATGGTGACACCTCTCATCATTCTGACAAATCTGGTGTCCAATGTGCTCCAAATGGATAAATAACAACAACAGCAAGTCTGCTGTGTTTTCCTGGAGCATCATTTTAGCTTGACCTTCCTGTTTTGTTCTAAATGCAGGACTAACAGCTCAGAAGTGGAATCCAGCCCTTCAGCATCATCTTCTTAGCTCCATCTCTTCCCGACATTTTCTTCCAATCATTTTTGTATTCTTCCTACCGGTAGCCAGGTTTCTCTCCTCCTTTCTTATTCTTTCTCCTTCCATCTCCATCCTCTCCCAGACCCTCCCAGATGCCGAAGAACAGCAAGGTCATCCAGCGTGTCCAGAGCCATGAGCACGTCACCGAATCTGTGACCGACCTGCTCGGAAATGAGGAGCCGCTAGACTACAAGAGCAGCTCCCTGAATGTCGGGGCTGCTGCTGGGAAGACAGTCCCACAGATAGAAGTGCCTGAAAACGATGGAAGACCCGCCTGGAACAGCAAGCTGCAGTACATCCTGGCCCAGGTGGGCTTCTCTGTGGGGCTTGGGAACGTGTGGCGCTTCCCTTACCTGTGTCAGAAGAACGGAGGAGGTGAGCAGAGTGACTGTGTCTTTTAGAGGTGGAGATGCTGCTTCGTTTGGTCAGAAAGAATCAAGAATTATTTATTTTTGTTTGTAAACTTAGATTTTGATGTGCTGATGAGGAAATCCAGAGCAGGAAGTGATGTCCTGCATGTTTTTTCTGCTCTCAATCAGTGGTCACCCTCCCTTTTTACGATGGTGCTGCCTCACAGTTTCCTCCTATTTTTGTTTATTTTGTCGCTGAAATGTTTCACATCTGCAAACAAATGTGTGTGTGAGACAAAGATAACCGGCGTAAGTACAGAACGCAGTTTTTTCATTTTTCAGGAAGATTTTGACAGAAAAATGTCTTCCTTACCAATTTAGCTCAATGTTCATGCAGCCATTTTCATCCCTCCGGGTCGCGGAGGCAGCAGCTCCAGCAGAGGCCCAGGCCTTCCCTGGCCAACGCAAAATCCCTCCAGCAGGTCTGAGTCAACCAGAGGGTCTTCTGTCAGGAGATGTCTAAGCGGCATTCCGAATAAATGCTTGAACAAACTCAGTCAGCTTCTCTCTAAAGCCTGATTTATGCTTCTCCGTCTGCGTCAGTGCGGAGACACGCAACGCCATTATCCATCCTTGCGTAGGGCACGCAAGTACGTACGGAGTCGAGCCCACTTTTTTAAACATTCGTCGAACGAGACGGATTACGCAAGCTTGTGATTGGTCAGGACGCCGCTGTTGTTTACAGCGCCGCCATTGCAAAGAGAGCCGAGGATAACTAGCGGCAGACACGGAGAAGCTTGAAGAATATCTCGCGAAAAAACTCTAAAATATGAACGTTTAATTCTCCCGTGACTGGAGGAGTGAAAAGATGCACAGCAAGCGTTTTATTTGTGGACAGAAATGACAGGAAACGTGGGTTTAGAGGTGGGGAGCGCATGAAGAGGTGGGAGAATGAGAGACAAATATGTCCGTGTTAAAAGTCTCTTAAACACACAAAAAACACAATATAAACAAACGATCTTGGACCGATACATGACAGGATACCACAGAACAGCGCTACGCCCTCTGTTGTCCTGCCGGGCAATTGCTTTGCAACACTCTCCAGGAGACGGCGAAGTATGAGAGCAAAACGCTTCCGTCAGTCCGTGCGTGTCTGTCCCTTGCGGAGCTGACGGAGAAGCATAAACCAGGCTTAAGTCAGGGGTGCTCAACCCTGGTCCTGGAGGGCCGGTATCCAGCAGGTTTTGTGGTTTTTCTGCTCCAACACACTTGATTAACTGGTTGAATCACCTGTGCAGCCTCTCATCAGGCTCTGCAGAAGCCTGTTAATCACCTGCTGATTGAAATCAGGTGTGTTGAAGCAGAATTAAAACTAAAACATGCTGGATACCGGCCCTCGAGGACCAGGATTGTGCACCCCTGCTAAGTGGAGGAGCAGTGGCTCCACCCAGAATCTCTCCTGGAGGTTGGAGCTCTTCTTCTCTGTGGCTGAGGCTGACCAGCCTGTGAAGAGAATTCATTTTCCCTGCTTGTGTTCACAATCTTGTTCTTTTGGTCACCAAAGCTCGCGACCATAATTGAAGGATGGAACGAAGAACATCATCACACCCGCAGTAGTGTGATGGTTTGGGCCGCTCTGCTGCTTCAGGACCTGGACCACTTGCTGTAATTGATGAAATCATGAATTCTGATCTCCAGCAGAAATTCCTGAAAAAACATTTGACCTTAAACAGGTCATTCGTTACGGGGGGAAAATATTAAAATAAAATAAAAACAACAATAAAATAATTCAGACAAAATTCCTTCACAGAGATAACACTCTGTAGTTGACTTGGTTGTCGCCACCAGAGGGTTAGAGTGTCACTTGCACATTAAAAGGGTTGGATGGAGAGCTAGATAGATCTTTTTAAGGTTGGCTCACAAATACCAACTAAATGTGTCATCTTCAGATTTATATTAGCTATTATTTTAATGCTTCTGATTTTTTTTTTTCTTTATTTTACTGAAGCTCTGCTTTAAGAAATACTTGCTTAGGTTTTGATTTGATATCGTGTTAATAAAGGTTAGAAAATTCACTAAAAAGGTGCTTCTTTGTACGGCACCTGAGGGGCGGCGGTGGCAGAGGAGTTTAGTGCCCCCCTTTATCCAGAGGGTTGCAGGTTTGCATCCCATCTGTAGCAGTCGTTGTGTCCTTGGGCAAGAAGAAGAAGAAGAAACTATCATTTCTATAGCGCCTCTCAAGATAAAAATCACGAGGCGCTTCACCCACCATGCCTTTTGGTGGTGGTCAGAGGAACTGGTGGCTAAAGTGTATGGCAGCCTCGCCTCTGTCACTTTGCCCCAGGGCAGCTGTAGCTACACTGTAACTCATCACCATCAGTGTGTGTGCATGGGTAATTGACTCTGTTTTTAATCAACTAGGACAATTTAGAAAAACAAATGTTTTAAATCATTATAAGATGATAGAAATGATATGCTATAGTGCACATATATGGTCATAGCTTCCTGCTCTCAGCTGTCAGCCTTGGTGTGTGTGTGTGTGAGCTCATCCATCAGAAACTACACAGCTCTTTCATTCAGCCCAGAACTGTCATGGGAGCAGCTGCATTGTGCAGAAAGTCTAAAAATAGCAGCAACATCGATTGCTCAGGTTGAGCTCATCTGATACTTCGATAAACAGAGCGGGTTGAGGGAAATGCATTCATGTAACTGCATAGGGAGGAGGTTTTGTTTGTATTTGGGATGCATGTGTGCACTGGAGTTGTACAAACCTGCTTCACTATCAGGAACCACACCTGGTGCATGAGTCCATGCTGCAGTAGGTCGGACTGTTTCAGCTGATTTATCGACTTTCTTAAGGACTTACTGCCTGTTGCCTCTCCCTGGGCTGCCACCTTACCGTGGTGGAGGGGTTTGAGTGTCTCAATGATCCTAGGAGCTAAGTTGTCTGAGGCTTTCTGCCTCTGGTAGGGTCACCCATGGCAAACAGGTCCTAGGTGAGGGATCAGACAAAGAGCAGACCAAAGACCTCTTATGATGAATTATATAAATGGAAACCGTGTTTCCCGGACGTGGGTCACTGGGGCTCCCCTCTGGAGCCAGGCCTGGAGGTGGGGCACGCTGGCGAGCGCCTGGTGGCCGGGCTTACACCCATGGAGCCCAGCCAGGTACAGCCCGAAGAGGAAACGTGGGTCCACCTTCCCATGGGCTCACCACTCGTGGGAGGGGCCAAAGGGGTCGGGTGCAGTGTGTGACGGGTGGTAGTCGGGGGCGGGGACCTTGGCGGTCTGATCCTCGGCTACAGAAGCTGGCTCTTGGCACATGGAATGTCACCTCTCTGGTGGGGAAGGAGCCTGAGTTGGTGTGTGTGGTTGAGAGGTTCTGACTAGATGTAGTCGGGCTCACCTCAACGCATGGCTCTGGCTCTGGAACCAGTTTCCTTGCGAGGGGTTGGACTTTCTACCACTCTGGAGCTGCTCCCACTGAGAGGCGCAGAGCAGGGGTGGGCATACTAGTTGCCCCCCATCTTGGTACCTGTACATTGGGGTTTACCCCAGTGAATGAGAGGGTAGCCTCCCTCCACCTACGTGTGGGGGGACGGGTTCTGACTGTGGTCTGTGCTCATGCACCAAACTACAGTTCAGACTACCCACCCTTTTTGGAGACCTTGGAGGGGGTGCTGGAGAGCGCTCCTTCCGGTGACTCCCTCGTTCTGCTGGGGGACTTCAACGCTCACGTGGGCAATGACAGTGAGACCTGGAAAGGTGTGGTTGGGAGGAACGGCCTCCCTGATCTGAATTCGAGTGGTGTTTTGTTATTGGACTTCTGTGCCAGTCATGGATTGTCCATAATGAACATCATGTTTAGACATAAAGGTGTCCATATGTGCTCTCTGCACCAGGATACCTTAGGCTGCAGCTCGATGATCGGCTTTGTCGTGAAGAAAGGAGCGGAGCTGTCAACTGACCACTACCTTGTGGTGAGTTGGCTCAGATGGTGGGGGAAGATGCTGGTCAGACCAGGCAGGCCCAAACGTATCGTGAGGGTCTGCTGGGAACGTCTGGCAGAGTCTCCTGTCAGAAGGAGCTTCAATTCCCACCTCCGACAGAACTTCCAAAATGTTCTGGGGGAGGTGGGGGACATTAAATCTGAATGGACCCTGTTCCGTGCCTCCATTGCTGAGGCTGCCGACCAGAGCTGTGGTTGCAGGATCGTCGGTGCCTGTCGGGGTGGCAACCCCCAAACCCACTGGTGGACATTGGCGTTTAGGGATGCTGTCAAGCTGAAGAAAGAGCCCTATCAGGTATTTTTGCCCTGTGGGACTCCAGAGGCAGCTGACAGGTACCGACAGTCAAAGCGAAACGTGGCTCGGGTGGTCGCCAAGGCAAAAACCCGGGCATGGGAGGAGTTCGGTGAGACCATGGAGCAAGACTTCCGTGTGGCTTCGAGGAGATTCTGGTCCACCATCTGGCGCCTCAGGGGAGGAAAGCAGTGTGCTACCAACACTATCTATAGTGGGGATGGTGTGCTGCTGACCTCTACTCAGGATCTTGTGGATCGATGGGCAGAATACTTCAAAGACCTCCTCAATCCCACCGACACGTCTTCCAGTGAGCAAGCAGTCTGGGGACTTTGGGTTGGCCTCTCAAATCTCTGGTGCTGAGGTCACTGAGGTGGTTAAAAAGCTCCTCTGTGGCAAGGCTCCAGTGGATGAGATCCGCCCGGAGTTCCTTAAGGCTCTGGATGTTGTGGGGCTGTGTTGGCTGGCGCGGCTCTGCAATATCGCATGGACATCGGGGGCAGTCCCACTGGACTGGCAGACCGGGGTGGTGGTCCCCTTATTTTAAAAGGGGGGCCGCAGGGTGTGTTCCAACTACAGGGGGATCACACTCCTGAGCCTTCCTAGTAAGGTCTCTTCAGGGGTTCTGGAGAGGAGGGTCCGTCGAATTGCTGAACCTCCGATTCAGGAGGAGCAATGTGGTTTTTGTCCTGGCCGTGGAACACTGGACCAGCTCTATTCCCTTAGGGGGATGCTAGAGGGTGCGTGGGAATTTGCCCAACCAGTCTACATGTGTTTTGTGGATCTGGAGAAGGCGTTTAACCGCGTCCCTCGAGGGGCCCTCTGGGGGGTACTCCGGGAGTATGGGGTACCAGGCCCTCTGATACGGGCTGTTAGGTCCCTGTATGACCGGTGTCAGAGCTTGGTCCGCATTGCCAGTGTTCTGAGAAAACATCCTACTTTGGCAATACCCGTAGGATAATTTTACGGTGTTTTACATGACACAAACCCTAACCCTTACCCTAACCCTAACTATGTTCTGAGATATGGAGGTTTGTTAGTGCCACACAGCCACTTTCACTTTAGGCTCTAACTCTTAATTCTACCTATAACTATAACCAAGACTTCTTGTGTTGTGTCCTGATAGGGTTATGAATAATGTTTTGAACTATGGAGGTGTTTTAGTGCCAACCCCCCATTTTACTTTTAAACTTTAACCCTTAACTAAAACTCTACCCTTAACCAAGACTTCTAGGGTTTTGTCCTGATAAGGTTACGAACAATGTTTTGAAATATGGAGGTCTGTTAGTGCCACTCAGCTGTCTTAACTTTAGCCTTTACACTCTACACTCCAGCTCTAGCCTTAACTAGAACTTCTTGTGTTTAGTCCTGATTAGCTTACGACCCCTGGTGAACAATTACTGTTAGGCTAAGACTAATAAATAATATAATGTTTTAATTCTGGATGTTTTTATTACTACCTGTCTATCTGAATTTTAAATTCTACCCCTCACCCTTACGCTATCCTAACCCTAAAACTCCGTGGGTCTAATTCAGTAGTCTTTTTCTGTATGCTACTAGTCTCCTACCTATTGCAAACCTAGAATCTAACCCTCACCCTACACCCCACCCTAACCCTAAGGTTTGGGGGTTTAAATCATTAGTCTTTTTCTGTATGCTACTAGTCTCCTACCTATTGCAAACCTAGAATCTAACCCTCACCCTACACCCCACCCTAACCCTAAGGTTTGTGGATTTAAATCATTAGTCTTTAACTGTATGCTACTAGTCTCCTACCCATTGTAAACTTAGAATCTAACCCTCACCCTGCACCCCACCTCTAACCCTAAGGTCTGTGGATTTAATTCATTAGTATTTAGCTGTATGGAATAATGTTTTTTAAAAAACTATATAGGTTAGTTAGTGCCACTCACCCACCTCTCTTGTAGTCTCTAATTCTGACCTTCAGCTCGAATCTTAACCAAGATCTCTTGTGACTAATTGGGATTTGTTGAGAATAATACTTTAAACTATAGAGGTCGGTTAGTGCCACCTGTCCACCTTACTTTGAACCCCTAACCCTGAAGTTTAGATTCCAACCCTAACCAATCTTACTTTTTAGATTCTAACCCTGAGTTGTAGCGCTAATCTTAATCTAGACCCCTTGTGGCCAATTAGTATTGATTTAAGAATAATGTTTTAAAACTATGGAGGTTTGTTAGTGCCACTCGCCCACTTTACTTTTAGCCTCTAAACTCGGCACTCCAGCGCTGTCTGCCTGCTCATCTCTTTTCCTCTCCCATTCCCTCTCATGCACGTAGGAGGAGGAGTTGGGAGAGCCAGGTTTAGCCTACTCCGGCTCGGATGTGTTTGGGCGTGACACCACATCTGTTACCTGGACCACATAACCCCTTTAAGTTAGGGTTAAAACATACACAGGTTTATACTTGAAAATACAGTTAATACCACACTACAAACTGTGCTGTTCTCTTTCTCACCATTGTTCCTCTCCCATTCCCTCTCCCACACTCAGGACTGGGAATTGGGGGAGCCAAGTTTAGCCTACTCCGGCTCGGATGTGGTTGAACGTAACACTACGACACCATGTCTGTTACTTGGTCTCTACCAAATCTGGGTCCACCTTGGTTTCCTCCTTGTTTCCTCTGGTTCTCTATTCTGTTCTTCTTCTCACTGTCTTCTTGAGTCTGTTTTTTCATGTTTTTCTACTCTACTCTTTTACTGTTCATTAAGACGAACCAACAACTGGAGGGGAGTTCTAGAGTGACACGCGACGGCCCGTGCATTGCCAGTGACTCCCTATTCAACTGTTTCGGTTAAGCTACTGATTCAGGGGGAACTCACTGAGATTTATCTACTCCATCTACTCCACCTAACCCAAAAAAATTAGGAATCAACGTCAATAAAAAGTACTAATACTTACAACTTACCTATTTTCCTGCAAATATGACAACGGAGTAGCATTCCCTTTTTGTGTTGTGCGCATGCGCGCACATGCTCAGGAACAACGGGTAGGACGGTTTACCGGGTAGGAGAAATTCCCAGAACACCGGAAGTAAGTCGGACTCGTTCCCAGTGAGAGTTGGACTCCGCCAAGGTTGCCCTTTGTCACAGATTCTGTTCATAACCTTTATGGACAGGATTTCTAGGCACAGCCAAGGTGTGGAGGGCATCTGTTTTGGTGGCCTGAGAATCAGGTCTCTGCTTTTTGCAGATGATGTGGTCCTGTTGGCTTCATCAGAACGTGATCTTCAGCTTTTGCTGGAGCGGTTCGCAGCCGAGTGTGAAGCAGCTGGGATGAGAATCAGCTCCTCTAAATCTGAGACCATGGTCTTGATTCGGAAAAGGGTAGAATGCCTTCTCCGGGTCAGGGATGAGGTCCTGCCACAAGTGGAGGAGTTTAAGTATCTCAGGATTTTGTTCACGAGTGAGGGAAAACTGGAGCATGAGATCGATAGGCGGATTGGTGCTGCACCTGCAGTGATGCGGGCGTTGTACCGGTCTGTCGTGCTGAAGAGAGAGCTGAGTCAGAAGGCGAAGCTCTCGATTTAACGGTCATTCTACGTTCCTACCCTCACCTATGGTCATGAGCTTTGGGTAGTGACCAAAAGAACGAGATCGCGGATACAAGCGGCTGAAATGAGTTTTCTCCGAAGAGTGGCTGGGCTCTCCCTTAGAGATATGGTGAGAAGCTCGGTCATTCGGGAGGGGCTCAGAGTAGACCCGAGAGGAGCCAGTTGAGGTGGCTCAGGCATCTGGTCAGGATGCCTCCTGGACGCCTCCCTGATGAGGTTTTCCGGGCACGTCCAACCGGGAGGAGACCTAAAGGTAGACCCAGGACACGGTGGAGGGACTATGTGGCCCAAGTGGCTGGGGAGAGGGAAGTCTGGGCCTCTCACCTTAGGCTACTGTCCCCGCGACCCGACTCCGGATAAGTGGATGAAAATGGATGGATGGATGGATGGATGGATGGATGGATGGATGGATGGATGGATGGAGGCTTATTTACCTCCAGGGGCATCTTCTCCTGACTCAACAGGTTGCATTACCTGACCGGCAGCCATTTTTCACTTGCTGTCTGGAAGACAATTACAGGCACATTAAAGACCTTGTTGTATTAGCTATCAGTGTGTGGGCTCTCGCCTCTCTTCTCTCCTCTGTGATGCTCCTTCTCCTCCTTTGTCTTCATGCTTTGTTTGAGCTGAGGTGTAATAACACATCTGCTGCACGAGCCGGCTCAATTTTTAATACGATGTGTGATGGAGCGTATTCACTTAAAGCTGATTTATGGATCCTGCTAAACCTCCTCACTCCATTTAACTTCCAGTCTTTTTTTTAGCTGTTTTCATTTAGGCTCTGCCTCTCTACCCACCCACTATGAGATGTGTGTGACATCAGCTGTATTTCCTGTTTTTGATGCAATAATAGATGAACATGGGAACAAATTTCTATCAAAGATTTGACAAAATATCAAAAATAAAAGGAAAATCAAATAAGGATATATTTCTATTGTTCATTTTCTCCCCAGGGGCTTATTTGGTTCCTTACTTCATCCTCCTCATCATCATCGGTATCCCACTCTTCTTCCTGGAGCTGGCCGTGGGTCAGAAGATCCGGCGTGGGAGCATCGGAGTGTGGAACTATGTTTGCCCACGTCTCGGTGGGATAGGGATGTCCAGTCTGATGGTGAGGACAGTTTGTTTCTGTCTTTAATCAGAGGATCATAGGCTGCAGTTAGAAAGCAGCTCTCAGATGCTGCAGTGAAACGGAACGCTGAATGTGCAGCAGTGAAAGAACAAAAACACAAAGCTCTGCCTGAGATTTATGAGCACGTCCTCTTTTCTGCATGAGTAAACACTTAATACTACTGTCATAGCAAAAAGATTAGAAACACCCTCTATCTGTGCTATGATTCTATGTTGCAGGACTTTATATAAAAACATTTTGGGCCTCTTGTTACTAATTTAAATAGTCAATAATATTTATTTTTAGCTGCTTTTTCACTGGATTCTGACAAGTCCCTCTGACTATGACAACATATGCAACATATGGTGGTCAACCTGGAACCTCATACACACTCATAGCTGTCCAGGATATTTACAGTACTTACAGGTGGTTCAGAACGCCTGTGCTCGGCTTCTGACCAAGTCCTCCAAACACACCCACATCAACCCGCTTCTCCTCCAGCTTCACTGGCTGCCAGTCAACTTCAGGGTTCATTTCAAGATCCTGGTTCTGGTCTATAGGGCCTTACATGGACAAGCACCATCTTACATTGGGGATCTTCTTAGTCCCTACACCCCCAGCAGGTCCCTGAGGTCCAGTGATCAAAGCCTACTGGTTGTGCAGCACCGGGCTAAAGACCAAAGGTGACAGATCATTTGCTGCTGTGGCCCCCAGACTCTGGAACTCTCTCCCCCTGAGCCTGAGACCAGTGGACTCAGTGGTCTCCTTTAAAAAGCAGCTGAAGACTCACTTGTTCAAGCTGGCTTTTGTATGACCTTCTTCACCACTCTCTCTTTATTCTGCTCTCCCCACCTATTCCACCTTCCTCAGGATCCACTGATTTCCCTCTTTCCTGTTCACTCTCTCTCTTTCTTAACATTTTTTAAATCACAATTGCCTATTTTTGCCCATTTTAATATATTTCTAAACTTTTTCTAAATGCTTTTTTATATTTTTACAATTTTTGTTTTTGTGAAGTGCCTCATGATTTTTATCTCGCTATAGAAATGATATTTTCTTCTTCTTCTTCATCAGTAAGACATTAGTTGGGTCTGAGGAATTGGCTCCCATAAACTTAAATAGTTACAACTTTGCTTTAGTTCATCCACTCAACATGTGATTGTAAAAGTGCATGCATTCAACCATGCATATGCTAATGCATGTGTCAATAAAGGAACCGGCTTAATGTGACAGAAGTTTGGTATACACCAACAAGCAGCAGACGACTCCTTCTATCCTGCTTTAAATAACACCCCCTTACCATCACACCTCCTTCTCCATGCTCGACAGTGGGATACACGGATCCCTTCCTCTTTTCTTGAGCCTGTCAGAAGATAGTAACCAGTGAACTCAGTTTTGGATGCAGCAATGTTGAATCCTTGTTCATCAAGAGATGCTGAGTTTAGGTGGGGGTTCCCCAGGGGTCTGTTTTGGGACCCTTGCTGTTCTTGCTTTATATTCTTCTTCTAGGGCTGCTATTTAAAAACACATTAGTTTCCATCTTTATGCTGATGATTGTCAGCTTTGTTTTCCAGGTCAGCAGGAATGGGATAACATACTGCAGTTGGTGGATTGCTTCCCAAAAGTGACTCTGGATGGCGAGTAACTTTCTGGTGCTCAATGAAGGCAAAACTGAGATAATAGTTATTTCTCCAAATGACCACCAGCTCAATGGATTGGACCGTTTATCGCTCCTCCCCTATGAAAAATCTGTGATACCAGACTTGGGTGACCTGCAAGATCTTTACATTCGGTTCACCTGTTGGTGGTTACAAGGAGTGATCGTGCTTTTGTGGTTATAGGCCCTCAGCTCTGGAACCAACTCCAATCAGAGATAAAACAGTCCACGACTCTGCCCATTTGTTAAAGCCAGACTGAAGCTTAATTTTAGATCAGTTTGCTTTTAGTGCAGTTTTTAGTGTTTTTACTCATTGCTCTTTGAACTTATTGCTTTCAATTCTTCTATTGTTGTTTATTTTTTGTGTTTTATGCTATAATTTTACTGTAATGTTTGTGTTTACAGTGTTTTTATGTGTCTCTGTGCTATGTGCAGCACCTTGGGCCTCCTTGACTCGGGTGGTGGGGGGGGAGGTTTTATAAATAAACAATTGAACTGAATTGAAATAGCACCGCTGAAAGTCTCAGTCGTAATAAAAAGGCAAGAAGAGGAACTGATTTATTTCTGATTCTCATTAATTAAGAAACATTACTGATGATAAGGTAATAAAATTGGTTCAGAATGCAAAGAGCTGAGATTACAGACAGAATCTTCCGTTACTGGGTATTAGTACACATTTTTACTGTGTGTGTGTGTGCATGTGTGTGTTTGTGAGTAAATTCAAATGCATCAGCTCTCTCTCTCTCTTGGGTTGATGGGTTTTATTCATGTGACTGAGAGTTCGTGGCGGCCTTTCTTCAGTGCTGAACGACTGGGACAGAAGCTGCTATAAATACCTCAGAGGAGATAGCAGCTGAAAAGAGACGACTTTAATTATTCATGCTTTCTTCAACCTTATTTAGTGTCTGAATGTCCTTGCTGCCAAGACTTGA